TTTATTTTATTTATTTATTTATTTATTTATTTATATATATATTTATATATATATATATATGATACATAAGAATAAGAAGGGGAGGAAGGAGGCTTCAGGAATGCTATGAAGAAGGGTTCCAGAGGGAGTGGGAAGGGGATAAGAGGAGAACGGGGTAGGGTATGGTCAAAATGCATTATATACACATCTGAAATTATCAAAGAATAACATACAATAATTTTAAACAAGTTCCAAATATAGTTTAACATAAATTCATTTTTTAAGGAGTTGTAAGTATGGTCCTTTTTTTCAAACTAAAAAGCTCATCTACCCTTCAGGCAAGTAATGAGGGAAGCATGATGAATAATGATAATAGCACTCACATACACAAATTTGAATTTTTAAATTAATCGTTGTATCTTTTGGGGTTACTATTGTTATACCTTTTCTTTTACTAGTGTATTAGTAAAGGTCCTGTTACATGTAAGGATAAGCTAGCTTTCATGAGATTCTGGGCTGCTTGACTTCTCACTAATACAGCAAGATTGCTTTTTTTGCATTGGGTAAAGCCATTTATAACAAATGGGAAAGATTGCTATTTAAGTCAGGTTTTGTTGAAAAATATTGAAGGTAGATACATGTGGGATCTTATTAAACCTAAAAATGTGTCTGACATGTTACCTAGCTTTTGAAGAATTACTATGAAATGGAAATATCAGAGTTTTGTGATTATAACATAGAAATGAGAAACCATTCATGCATGTGGGGAATTTGCTTTTAAAGTTATCAACAATTGTTAACAATAAGACTTCAATGATACATGGACCATACGTACTGTTTATATATGGTATGTGGCACAGTTTGAGATAGTCAAATCTGTAGGACTTGTGCAGATATTCTTGTCCTGTTTGGAGTATATCATTTAGTTGAGTGGAAGAACTTGTTTAACAGCATAATGAAAGCAATAGTAATGAGTGGAAACTGTTTTGGGCAGAATGGAAAGCAAAATTCTAGGTTGCATTATAACAGACGGTTAGAGAAAGAAAAGGCATTGTGTGTTCGACTTGTAGACTAGCCTACAGCCCATGTGCCTTTTGTATCCCAGGAAAGTTCTGAATGCAGCCCAACACATTTGTAGATAACAACATCATGTCCCAATATCAAAACATTGGGCACCGCAGTTTGAGTCTTCAGATTAGGATAAGTGATACAAGAAGTGGAACAAAACTATCATGTGCTTTAAACTGGAAGAGATGAATTTGGAAATTGTTAGAAATATAGTTTAGAAATTATCTAATGAAGTGTTATCATATTTAAAAACAGGCAACCAAAGCTTAGAAAAGCACAGTGATGCAGCAAATGTTTGGTAGAGAGAATACAGGAAAGTTCTTATTCAATATGCCAAGCTCAGTGTGAAGAAAAACTTTTGGTTTGGAAGGAAAAATGTCAGAAGGAAAATGAACTGAGTAGGAGATGGTTATTGAAATCCCAATTGATGAGCCAATAAGTAGGTAAAGAGTGTTTGCTGCATGAGTGTCACTACCTGAGTTGAATCCCTGGAACCCACAGTAGAAATTTAAAAAGTGAAAAAAGAAATCCAGATTAAAAAGAAACCTAGCTATGGAAGCCAGTGTTCTTGGGGAGCTAGAACACATCACTTACTTCTGCTTTGTTTCTTCCACAGAGCTGTCTGACAGTTTTTATCCTAGGGTGGTATTTGTCATATGGAAGTGTAGTGAGGAGCAAGTTACCTGACTTGTCTGGGGTGATAAATCTTCCTATTCTGTACTTCTAGGACTTGCATAGTTCTATAAATTACAGCCCATAAAACTATAGTACATAGTTAAACTTTCAGAAAAGTTTGAATGAAAAGCACAAAATATTTACTTAAGTGGCTAACTTGGCTTCCCGCTTTCTCGTGTTTATTTGAATGGTTTATTGAAAGGAAGCTAATCTTTCTGGTTCTGTTGGATATTTATTATAATACTAGTTGTGAATGAATTAGACAAGAGAAGAAAACATTTTTCACTTGCATAAGTAATGTATATGTTAGAGTTCTCCACATGAACTGAACCAGTAAATAGAACTGTAATGCACTAGTTGCTCTTG